TTTAGCGTAACAATCTTTAGCGTAACAATCTTTAGCGTAACAATCTTAAGCGTAACAATCTTTAGCGTAACAATCTTTAGCGTAACAATCTTAAGCATAACAATCTTTAGCGTAACAATCTTAAGCATAACAATCTTAAGCATAACAATCTTAAGCATAACAATCTTAAGCATAACAATCTTAAGCATAACAATCTTTAGCGTAATAATCTGCGTGTGTGCGTTACCTTGACAGGAGCCGTCCCTGCTGCCGTATCCAGGCTGGCAGGACACACAGCGGTACGACCCCACAGTGTTCACACACTGCTGACCAGGACACTGAGAGCCCTGCACACACTCGTCCACATCTGACACACACACACCACACACACACACACGCACACGCACACACATACACATTAAGATTCATCCTCTGGGAAGCATGAATATTCACAGTGAATTTCACGCCAATCTGGCCGGCAGTTGTTGATATGTGGACCATGAAGTGTTGGACAAAATCTCCAGAACATGCCACAGTTGTGTGTCTCTGTGTGTGTCTGTGTGTGTGTGTCTGTGTGTGTGTGTATGCGTGTGTGTGTGTGTGTGTGTATGTGTGCGTGTGTATGTGTGTGTGTGTGTGCGTGCGTGTGTGCGTGAGTGTGTGTGTACCTGCACACAGTCCGTTCACACTGTGGTGTCCCCTCTGACAGTCCACACAGCTGTAAGATCCTTCAGAGTTCACACACTGCTGACCGGGACACGACTCTCTGTCCTCACACTCGTCCACGTCTACAGGACGACGTTCATTTATTATAACGAGGAAACTCAAAGATTAAAAATGTAAAAGAAAGACTAGAAAGACTATATAAAAACACACAAATAGGATTAAAAATAGAATAAAATTCAGGATGAAAATGAGATGAAGTCGAATAAATCAATCAAAACAGTAAAATATATTATTTTATGTGTGTGTGTGTGTGCGTACCTATACACTGTCTGTTGGTGAGTGTGTAACCTGGTCGACAGGACATACAGCGGTACGACCCCACAGCGTTCACACACATCTGACCAGGACACTGAGACGGCTCTGCACACTCATCTACATCTACACACACACACACACACACACACACACACACACACACACACACCTCATTTAAAGCAACAGTTTCTCTTCTCTTTCTCTCCGAGTATCACATTGACGTCACGTCTGCACATTAAATATGAAGCTACAACCGGTGGCTGGTTAGCTTAGCTTAGCATAAAGACTGGAAACAGAGGGAAAGAGCTAGCATGGCTGCTCGGTACTTTTACTGCAGTAAAGAGTACATGAGTACTTCTGAACCACTGCTGACGTTCACCTGTGCAGGTGTTGTTCTGCAGCTTGTAACCATGGCGACAGACACAGTGGTAGCTTCCAGGTGTGTTTTCACAGCGACCGTCGGAGCACGGAGACCCCCGACACTCGTCCACGTCTGCAGACAATATCACAACTACGTGTTAAACAGCACAAACATATTGGTAAAATATCCAAAAAGTAATTCAAATGAGCTCCACCTTCATCAGCTGCAACGTTAAAGTGATGAAGACATATATAAAATATATTACTCTGAGTATTTTTACCTGGTACTTTAAGTATATTTGAAGCTAATACTCTAGAGCAGGGGTCTTCAACGTGTTTCAGGCCAAGGACCCCCAAACTGATAGACAGATGGAGCAGGGACCCCCGACTATATATATATTGTATAACATTGTGTTTTATATTAAATGGGCCTAGTACCATGTATAAACATACCTCTTTATTGTGCATTCAATACTAAGCTATTCTAATAATACACAGGTTCATATATTCATGTTATGTTAAACATGTGTAAGGTACAGTGAGTAGGGAGGCCGTGCCGCTGCCATTTATAAACACACCTTGTCAGCTGATACCAATGCCAATATCAACATTGTCTGTTAATAGCATGATAATCATCATACAAGATATTCAAATTGACGTTTTCATTTTAAATATAAATGTGGAAACATAAATGAGTGATGTACTATTAGTGCCACTGCCATGCATAAACACACCTGTTATCTTTCACACAATACTGAACTATTAACATAATGGACACATTCATGTTTTTCGGTCGAGTTTCCATCTTCGTTCATAACGATCACTGATAATAATAAACTGGCCTCAGTAGCTGCTGTTGTGTAAAGCAGCTGCAGTGATTTAGCAGGAATATTAATAAGGATTCGTGGTGAAGTAAATGTTTTAATTTGATCTTCTTTTCAAATAATATCACAGTGTGCGTCCTTGTGTCTGGGATCTTAGTCAGCTGGGGACTGAATAGGCTCTCGGTCAATCACGGGGAACCTGACAGAGCCAGCATGAAACATGCGGCCTCGTGATTGGCACAGCAGCGATGGGGGCGGGGCCTCCTCTTTGTGTGCAGGAGGCCTGGAGGGAGGACAGGTCCAGGCTAGTCTGCGCTGTGAGTGAACCGGTGCCCAGCCTGAGAGCTCCTGTGTGTCGATGTGTGCATCTCTGACTGAAAGACAACATCTTCTGCCTCCATTGATCCATTCACTACAATATGTTGGATTCATGTTAATGTGTATTTAAAGACATTTCAATTGGTGGAAGAAAATATCAAAGAAAATATGAAAACTTGTCTAATCAACCAAACATTTCACGCCCCCCTGCAGCACCTCCTGTTGAAGACCTCTGCTTTACACAATCACTTTTATTTTACAGCTTCAATTTATTGCAAAACTAACCAAAATACATATTTGTAGCTTTTGTCTGAATGTTCTTCTTGTTTTCACTAATAAAGTTTTTGGTCGTCAATAATCATCAATCCTCCATCAGCTCACCTGACGTCTGAACGCACAGCAGCCTCCGGCTTTGCTGCTCCGCACAAACACTCGAGCTCCGAGTGCGACCTGAGACCAGAGGAGTCCCATGTTCACATGAATACTCACGTAGATATTCATTCATTGTTATTCATACGTGATTATATAGTTATTCATTGT